GGGAAGTGATATGAAAGAATTAAATAAATAAATAAATGAACGATGCCGATTTCCGATTGATAAGTGAAGTAATTGAGGAATGGTTTTTCATCTGTGTTATCTCAAGTGCTTGGAGAGTACATGAAGTGCACTGAGTTAAGAGTTCAATTACAGTGTACTCTCATCCATTTTACTCGTCCTCTTCTGTTTATTATTTCGATAATTGCAGGCGTAAATAGACTCAAAGATTGGTAATAGTATCGATTATCGTGTCGAAGCTCGTACCATTCTGTGCCTGCCTGCAATAATTATTTCCTGTCAACGGAATTATTGTTAATGAATGTCGTCATCCCAATCCGAATGAGGAGATAATTATTCAAGAAAATATTTCAACGAGGAAATAATTTGTCGAGAGAACCAGTCAGATCCGCGCAGTTGTAATTTCCTACTGCATTTACTTTAATTCACATCAATTCCCGATTATCTTCACCTTAAATCTAGTATAAAAGTGGATAATTGATTTTCTAACTAATTACTATAATTACTGTCATTAATAATATTCAAGAAATCAATTCGACTTGCTGAACGAAGCGGGAAAATTGGTTTGAATGAATATTTAAATTCGAAGAATTGGAATTATTGGGATGGGGTCATTATTATTAATTATTGTTGCTAGTTATCTGAGAGTAGAAAGATGACAGATAATGGTAGGTTTTATGGAGTGATTTTATTTGCAAAAATAAACGACTATTATCTTTACAGAAAAAAATTTGAATGGAGTGAAAGCTAGAAGTGTGGGCTCAGGTACATCCCATAGGAATCCTCATGAAATAGAAAAGGCGTTGCTACTGCCATTTGGATATAGATAAAATCCACATCCTGTTGTAGTTTCCTCGAGGGTACATATGAAGAATAATAAATTGCCTGGGACGTGTAGAAATTCTGTAATTTTTGGAATAATATTAAACACAAAGAAATTTCGCAATTGATGAATTCTTCGAGAAAATCGATTGCTGTGAAGAAATCGAGACTGAATTCTCAATGAATCAAAGTATTTTGGGAATATCTTCCTCAATTTGATTGCCCTTATCGTGCAATTACATAAACAGAATAAAGTTCGCATTATCTATTATTCCCCCGTTTTTTTCAACAAAAACAAACTGATTTATCCGAATGACTGGTCATTGGAAATCGGTGAACCAAAAATTCAGTTTCTCCCACGAAAAATCGTTAAAAATCCTAAAAATCCTGGTCCTCGCCCTTGAGGCTGCACAGAAAGAAAAATACCGGAAAAATTACTTTCGGAACTTTCATGTGTTCGTGGTGACCTTGGTTTTCGGGAAAAAATACCGTAAATTCCGTAAAAATTTTCGTAGCGATCAGTAATTTTTACGAAACTTCCCGGATAATTTTACGTACCTCCAGTACCACGAATACGCGAAAGTTCCGTAATTTTCCCGGTATTTTTCTCTCCACGTAGCGTGGCAGAAAGATTTTATTTCTCAACGATTTTATTATTGTATATATTCTATTTATTTATCCATTCATTTAATGACAGAACAAAGAATAAATTCCATGAAAGCAATCACTAAATCCTGGAAATGAGCCACTGAAATGAGGAGTGGCGAGGATTATCATCTCCTCGGCGAATAAATACCGACCTAGAAATAACAACCGGGGAATACTAGAAGGGATTGTCTCAATACCCAATCGATCGACCTCGAGAACCTCCCCCTTCCTTTCACCCCATTAATCATCCCGTTGAATTCTCAGAAAATGCTTTTCCTGTTCTGCATTCGGACCTCAATATTCCCCGGGGTCATCACGACACGTGACCTGCATACGAGAACTCGTTTTTTTTTTTTGTTTCAAATTTCACAGCGTGTAACTGTCATACACCTGAGTTGATAAAAGACTGCTCCAATTCCATGTCTCTAGGTTTTCATACGACTCTATTGTTATTCATTAGGGACTAGGTGCTCTCATTATGAAAATTACGCGCAATTATGACGCGCAATTGGATGTGAGGGTCGACGGGGATTTTTACGCAATCCATTTGAAATTAAATTTCTAAATATTTAATTTAATGAATACAAACAATTCTATTCGTTGCTTGATTTTATTTTGGGATTATCAAAGTTGCTAGTCAATTTGTTAATAATAAATAGGGAAAATCATTGATGGGATTTCGAGTTAATTAATTATTTTTTTTTTTGATATTCCGATAATTTAGTTATATTTCACGTTGAATTATTATTTAATACGAAAAATTCAATTTTTGGGTTTTTAAAACATTTTTTCATTGACATTGAACTTGAACTCATGCATTTAATGATTCAGATGACTTGAAGTAATTTTAATGCTACACTGAGGACATTAAATATCTTATTAACTGCGCAATTGGAGGTTCGGTAATTTGAAAAATGACGTTTGAAAGACGTCTGCGAGGAAAAAAAGTGGAATACGGTGAACATTGAAATGATGACGCAAATACTTGAATGCATTGATGATGTGGTGCCATTAGAATAGTAAATTACCTCGACGAATTGAAGATTCGTAATAGGAAATGCCGATACCAATTGGTTAGACAAGTCAGCCTTTTAACATCCCACAATTTGAGTCTTTATTTACGAGGGGAATTGGTGAGTGTGAAATATCCGACAGTTAATGTCGGAACGTAAATTGTGAAGGGTTCTTGACTTCGAGGATGCCTTCAATTTTTTTTAATACTTTCAGCCAACATACAAAGAGGCATCTGTTCTTGTCGAGTTTGACTTCTTCATAAATTCGGGGAATGATTTTTTTATTTATCTTTCGAGAAACTATTGTAAGAAATTTGTAACGCCGTAAATTCTTTCCAGTTTACGAACTATTTCTGATTTTAATTGAAAAAGAACATTATTGTATTTATTTATTGCATTTAGTGATTCGTAAATTAAAAAAATGTAAAATTTCCCACAATGTGCAAATTCGATTTTCATTTCGAATGATTTTTTTTTTAATTCCAAAAACGAAATATTAACTCCCCCTAAAAATCGAAATACAATCTGATGCATATCTAATTACACAGCGAGGGCAGTAATGAGTTTCGCATGTACACAGGTAAAAGTTAAGTTACATGATGACGTTGCGGAAATGAAAGTTGTAGTGGATCGTGAAAATTCCGATTTTCAGGCACCACTCGGTGAGATAACGAATAAAAAATGGTATTATTGATTTGACTGCCCACCG